AATAATCCAGACCACAGGTTTGAAAGCACCTTAAAATGCACGCCTCTCTCTGGACAGAGTTGGAGTCAAACTATGAGTCATGAGTTCACCTAAAAGGGTGGTCTAGTGTGCAGTTCATGCAAATTCTGATAAGGGTCAATTAAAGGTGCAGTATCCAAGTTTGACACCCATTGGCTTAACTAGGTATTGCATTCCTGGTTAAAAACACAGACAAGCACAGGTTGCCAGATTGAGGACCAACGGGACTGTGCCTGACCATTGAACTTAAAGACTCATTTAAGGCTTATTTAAATCATGTTCTAAATAAAAGCAATGACACACGACAAGGAATATTTTCCATATTAAAAGAAGTTTTTGTTCTAACCAACACCTGAAATGTATACTTTAGAAATGGTTTCTATTTCTTGCCGCTGAACAACAGGATAAACCAACTATAATCACCTCATGTACACTGTGCTTTATTCAGTGTTAAATGCTAATAATGTGAGCTTGAATGCCATTTTACATGCTATTTTTTGCCATACTACTTAAAGCGGCAGCACATAGTTCACTTATTATTATTGTTATTATTTTATTATTATTTTATTATTATTATTATTATTATTATTATTATTATTCAGTTTCTAAATATCTGTTTAACAATCTACCAACTCCTTACAGATGAGGGCTCTAAAAACACACCTTCAGATTAAAATGTGCAAATAAAAGAGTTAAGTTATAGAGTAGTTTTATGTTTTGTAAACACTGAAATGTACTGATACAGTACATTTTGGACTGTATGTTTTGATTATTTAAATGATCTTGTTGTAGGCCATTACATTATTTGTGCTCTATATAATATCATCATAATTTAAGTGACAACCATTGTTGAACGTTATAATGGTATGATAAGTCACAATGTAAAATTGATGCTTTAAGGACAAACAGACATCAAGCTGACACATAAAACACATTTCAGCTCAGCGTGCTTGCCTTTGTGTGTTTTTGTTTGTTGTTTGTATGAGACATAAACCTAATCCAAACCTGTTGTTCACAAGCTCAACCCATACCATCATCTTCTCTTTCCTTTCTTCCTCCCGATAAGACTCTCTGGTCTCAGGCCCATTAGCCAATGGCGAAAGGGATAATTGTCGTGGAAAAGAACAGGCCGTGCGTTTGATGTGGACCTCGACTTCCTTTTGATGTAAAAATGTATCCACTGTGATTATCAAGATTATGGCTTCCTCCCCCTCCTCTTCCTCATTCCCTCGCCCTTTCCATCCCTCCATTAAGCTGTGAAGATTAATTGGAAACAGCCTTGTCTGATGGCTAAAGTTGATGTTCTTTGTAGCTGTCGGCTCGATGAACTCGCTTTTGGGCATCAGCTTTCATGCTTTTTCTTCGGTTTTTAGTTTTAGCACCATGCTATCTTAAATAAACTATTAAAACACACTATATAGATATTTGTTGATAATATTCAATAATATTCAATGTATTGTGATAATGAACATACACAATATTGATATTGTGGGCCCTTTAAAATACTGTGCACATTTATTGGAATTATTAAACCTTTTTGAGCTCTTCTTAAAAAAAATATTCATATTGTATTTGCATGTGGTGTTCATAACAGCATCAAAATACTTGAATATCAAATTGGTTATCTTAATAGTTCAAACATATTCCCTTGTTAATCTGGCTTACGTGCTGAAATATTGATTGAAAATTCTATCACTATTTTTAGGGTTATTATACACTCTCAGAAATAAAGGTATGAGATCTGTCACTGGGGTGATACCCTTTGAAGTGCTCATATTGGTACCTCAAAGATATATTTTAGTACCTAAAAATTTCAAGAGGTACACTTATGTACTTTTTAGGTACAGTAATGTACACTTGAGGTATTATTAAGGACCCTAAAAAAGTACCTCCCAAGGGACAGCTCTCATACCTTTAATTTTTCAGAGTGTACGTAAAAGTAGGTTAAAATCATAGTTGTTATTTCATAATTATTTTATTAAATGGACTTAATCACTAATGCAGTTCAGATGTATTTAGCAAACAAATTTGAACAAAGTAGCTGCAATCTGGTTTCTCACTGCTAATATTTTCTAATGAGTCTTTGTTGTAGTGTTACCCACTTTACAATGCTTTTGCTATTTAATTTGGTTGAAACATTTGGTTTATCCGGACATGTAGAGATCAGAGAATCATAAGAGAATGTATGTTCTTAGGAACTGAACTCTTTTTGTGTAGAAAACTGTGTAGAGAACTGTTTATACTATCGATATTGAGAGCATAATAGGCTTTTCCTTTTTATGCTGGTTCTCCTCTTCGTTAGACAAAAATTGCCTCAAAACTTTGAATGCTCCAAGATTATTAGTTTGCCTCTGCGGAGTATAGCAGAGTTACATGAACATCAAAGTCAGTTGGCGTTTCTGTGTGGAGTTCACATGTTCTCCCTTGCGTTCGCGTGGGTTTCCTCCGGGTGCTCCGGTTTCCCCCACAGTCCAAAGACATGCGGTACAGATGAATTGGGTAGGCTAAATTGTACGTATTGTGTGAGTGTGAATAAGTGTGTCTGGATGTTTCCCAGAGATGGGTTGCGGCTGGAAGGGCATCCGCTGCTTAAAAATAAACGTGGTGGATAAGTTGGTGGTTTGTTCTGCTGTGGCGACCCCAGATGAATAAAGGGACAAAGCCGACAAAAAAATGAATAAATAAATGAATCTTACATTCTAGCAAGTTTATACATTTTTAATGTATGGGTCTTGTCTTATTGCCTTTTTTATTTTATTTTTGTAGTATTTATAAAGCATGCTGGATTGTGTTTTTTAATATTGTTTAAAAGCTATTTCTCTTTTTATGTGTTCATGATGCTACTGCCCTTATTAAATTGTCCCTAGTGGTATTAAAAAAAACTTGTTAAACTTCAACTTAATGTATATCAAATGCAATACCCGAAGTATTTTTGATTTGGTTTTTAAGTTAATATTGTGATAATACCATATACGAGGATAAAAACTAGAACATTTTTATTTGTCATGAGTAGTGTAGGGGGTAATGCATTATAAGTAAAAAAAATAAATAAACAAAACTGAATGCAAAGCATCACACCCGCACCCCATCTCCAGCTAGACAACAATGGTTGACATCAGTTCACGTTCTCCAGGTATAGCAATTAATTCGACTAGTTATTGTTTTTATTGTTGAGGAGCTGCAGCCACTGTCTACTGTAGAAGCGACTACTCTTTTTTTTAATATAGTACGAATATAATTTACACAGTTGTTAAGTCATTTAATGTTTAAAGTTAAAATATTTATTTAGATTTGGGGATTTTTTTACTATCGTTTTACTGTTAAGTTTGTTATTAAACATTTTAAAGGATTAAAATCTTTTTTTGCCTTAACGTATTTCTTGTTAGTACTCTTAGGCTTTATTGCAATCTTTATCTCAATGGACAGTAAATTTATTTAACTAATAACACAAAAGTAGCAAACATATTACATGCTTTCGTTAATCTGTGTATACAGCATGTATAGGTCTGGGCTCAAAAAGTTCTCAAACTATAATTTTATCCTACTTTTTTTAAAGGAAAATGAATGTGTTGTTAATAGGTACAATGAATGCAAAACTTTTCTATTAAAAAAAGGTATAAAAAAACTGTTCAGAAAGAGATCAAATCTTAGCCAGGTAGGGAAAAGAAGTGCAAAAAGTTATATAATGCATTACTTTCATAAAAAGTGACTAAGTAACGCAATTAGTTACATTTTTGGGGAAGTAACCCATTATTGTAATGCACTACTTTCAAAAGTAACTTTCCCCAAAACTGGTCATGAGCCTGATATGCAATATACTGTATAGAGAATGGGCTCAGTAGTTTTAATGTTGTTGTTTTTAAGATATGAATGCTTTATTTATTTATTTTTTAACAAGGGCAGATTAAACAGATTAAAATTTTTTTACCCCCTGGGTCACAGTGAAACTGTCAAGCTTTGACCAGTCCGTGGAGGTAAAAAGGTTGGGGACCACTGCTATATACCGTGATGTGTGTAATTTGTCCTCGTTAACCAGGTTATTATTTTAGTTTTTTCTTATCAGTTATCACAGAATATATTTACAAGATAACACTGAGATCACCTTGGAAATGTGTGTATGTGTGTCTCTCTTTGTGCATTTGAAGGTGTTTTTGTAATATAGATGAAAATATTTGTCTTTATTAAATTGGGTTTTCATGTTCTTTATTTTATTGGGTTTTCATGTTTTATGGTGACGCCCCACAGACATACTGTAGTGATTTTTAATCTTCACAGGCTGCATACAGTAGTTAACATTTCAATTGGAGCAAAACCTTTCATCAAAGCTGTCCTAAAAGTATTTAAAAAGCACCCATTCTTGTCTTAGGAGAAAAACTCACTTCAAATGCATTCTGTCCTCTCACTCCAACACTACCCCTAAACCCAACCCTCATAGAAAACATTCACAAGTTTTACATTTTCAAAACAAATAATTCAATATAATTTATGAGCTGTTTTCCTCATGGGAAACAAAATAGTGTCTCCACATGGTGAAAAAGCACTGGTGTTACTGGTATTATAATGTATTCCCTGGCATTGGGAGATCAAATTTGCGGTGCAGATTTTCACTCACATTTGGTGATTTGTGAGTGTTCGTTTTAGGCCAATGGTGTGTATAAGTCTAATGCTCCAGTCATGGAGACTGTAGGCAGCAAATGAATACTATTTGTGAGACCTGGCAAGCATGTATAACATAGGTGTCTAGCCATAGACGCATGCTTGTGTCAGGGTGTTTACTGCATATGCATATTTTTGTTGGACACGGGTGTGTGTGTTTTAGTTTAGCATGCTTGCTGGCAGGGGTGTGCATGACAGTATTTGAGTGAGGTGTGTTTTCATTGGATACATGGTGGGATTTTATTTTACATCTCTGCCTATGAATGCGCGATTAGTGACTGTCATCACAATGACTCATTTCATCTCAGCTTTGCCTTTCTTTGCAGAAATCTGAGCAACAACCGTATTCGCATGCTGAAAAATGGCTCCTTCGCTGGCTTATCCTCCCTTGAGAAGCTGTAAGTAAACCTCTTCCTTGTCATAATATTTATCACCATTGCGAAGCTCAGTGGTTTCTTTGATGCTTGCCGTCTAGGCAATGGGCAGCTTGAGTCATTATGGATTCAAGTACTATATTATAAAAAACAAATAAGCACTGACTTAACTGACATATAATATATTTTACATACTGTGACTTATTTATTTACTTACTCTCAGGGCCATTTATATCAAACCTGATATTTAGCCGAACCATGTTGTTTCATAACAATTTTTACAGGGTGGGTTGTTAGCCCAATGCTCAACCCCCAACCTGGAGGACCAGGACAAACACACATACACTACGGACAATTTAGCTTACCCATTTCACCTCTAGCGCATGTCTTTGAACTTGTTGGGGAAAACCAGAGCACCCAGTTCCTTCATAGTGACCCAAAACAAACTGATTAACTAAACCAGTTTTACAAACTGATAAAACAATTCAATTATCCCCCAAAACTTAAAAAATTTATCAAAAGTAATTTTTTGAATGTAGAAAGCTTTTGGTCACACTTTACAATGAGGTTGTAATTCACAATATGCGTACATTTATTAATCATAATTTAACTAAGGCAGTAGGGCTACACAATATTGGAAAAATCAATTTATCAATTTTGATATTGTGTTTTTCTGGGATAAATAATGCGACATGATTACAATTTGACTAGATAACTTTAATATCTCTATTTGGAAAGAATTAATAATTTTAGATTGATTAAGATGATTCTGCAAAGGAGTAAATTATACATTTTATATATATATATATATATATATATATATATATATATATATATATATATATATATATATATATATATATATATATAAAACATTATATCATAGACAAATACAATAGAGAAAAAATGGAAAATAATAATCATGTTGTTGTATTTAGGTACAGTATTTGAACAATCACATGTTAAATGATCACATCAAATATAATGCTGCATAAAAATCATTATTAAAGTTACACATTTTTTTATGCTTGAATGCTTTTAAAATCATCATGCCTCAAAAACATGCAAATAATAAACTATAATCCAGACCCAACATTGCGTATGCTGCAATGTTACTTTTGCAAATTATCCCATTGCGATATCTATGCTGAAATTATATATCGTGCAGGTCTATAAAGCAATATTAAAATCCAAAGTTGTTCTTGTTAACATTAGTTATTTGCACAGAGTTCACAAGAACTAACAATGCATGACTCAATTTTCATTAAAGGGATAGTACATTCAATTCATTTACACACCTTCTACTTGTTTTAAACCTTTATGAGTTTCTTTCTTTTAAACACAAAAGATGATGTTTTTGCACAGTGGCTGAGCGGTTATCACTGTCACCTCACTGCAAAAGGGTTGTTGGTTCGAGTCCCAGATGGGCCAGTTAGCATTTATGTGTGGAGTTTGCATGTTCTCCCTGTGTTCCTGTGGGTTTCCTCTAGTTTCCCCCAAAGAAGTCCAAAGACATGCGCTAGGTAAATTGGATGAACTAAATTGACTGCAATGAGTGCATCTTTGAATGCGAGAGTGTATGTTTGTTTCCAAAATAGTTGGTGGTTAATTCCGCTCTGGTGACCCCTTATAGATAAGGGACTAAGCCGAAGGAAAATTAATGAATGAAAAAGATATTTTGAAAGCTGGAACCATTGAATCTCATAGTATTTGTTTTACCTAATAAAGATGCCAATAGTTACAAGTTTTTTTACTTTCTTCAAATTATCTTCTTTCGTTTTCAACATAAAAAAGAAACTTTTTGAATGAAATGACATGTTGAGATGCACTATTCCTTCAAATAACTTTTGTAATTAATTCAATAAAGTGTTTACATCAATAGAAATCATTAACATCAATAAATGCTGTACATAAATGTTTGATCCAGAAAATATTATTTTTTCAACAAATAATAAATAATATTTATGAGCATCTTTTAATGGTTTTTGAAGGATATATTGAAGACTAGAGAAATTACTAAAGGAAATGTGACTACCGTAACTGGAAATCATAATATCATACAGTGGGAGATTTAGGCATGGGCAATGTGAGTGATCGCCCAGTGCGGCATCTTGCTTGTGGTGGCATAGAGACACATTACACCAACAACCCTGTGCACACCAAAGTTTATTTTATTTTATTTTATTTTATTTTATTTTATTTTATTTTATTTTATTTTATTTTATTTTATTTTATTTTTTATATATATTTTTTATATTTTTATTTTTTTATTTTATTTTTGCTGACATCGAAGGACATTTTGGCTTGTTGCACAAATGAAATCGAGATGCAGCCACAATGCAAAGCAAACCATACAATTCATAAAATTCAACAGACCCCTGTTTATTATTCTTTATATACTATGGATACAAACAACTGAAGACAGTGTTTAGATGTTGTCTTTCAAGACATTTTTTCTTTAACAACAGCTCCTGATTGTTGGACTGGACGTCTCATTTAAAGCCTCTGTGACTAAATTGTGCAATTTTTGTTATAAATATTTAATCTTAAGCCATTGACTGCAAAAAAATAAAAAATAAAAAATGCTGTAATTAGGAAGGGAAAGTATGTTTATGTCATCTATTTATTTATTTCCACATAGGAAATTTCTCTGGCTTAGCTCTGGCCGGCAAAAGCTGATTTAGGCAGATACGTTGGTGTGTCACATCTGCAATGAAACTGATAAACCCATGAAGCATTGCACTTTAGGTGTGTTATGAGCATGCTTTTTTTAAAGCGATCTGACCGGCGGAATTTTTTTTCACGCAACAATAATTACAAAATGTTTTTTTAATGTGGTCATAAATATCAAACTTATGTGGCCCAGATACATGTCACATATCAGCGCCAAATACTACGTTTAACATCTGACCCAAGTCTTGTGTGCTGCTTTAAAGGCGGGTGTTTGCTCTACCAGCTTTATGCCAAACCTGAGCCATAATTCTTTACTTCCTGAGTTCATTCATTCATTCATTCATCCATTCATCCATCCATCCATTCATTTATTTATTCATTTAGTTGTAGGCTGTAAAGTAATTTAAAATAACTGATTTCATTTAGTGTGGTGATATGGAAGTTTATTGCAAATAATTGCCTGAAAGTACTTGAACTTTGTGTTTATATGAAACTAACTGTATACCAAAGAATGCATCAAACAGTCAATCAAAATCATCTGCGTTGAACATGAAAAGGCTGTGTCTGTGTTGTTTTCTGTTAAAATAAATCAGCAATGTGGAACTTTAAATTAGAAAAGAGTGTTCCTCAAATTCCCACACTCAATGTTAAAACTAATTTTGCTGAAGACCCGTTTGCTGTAACTGTAAGCTGCTACAATTGGGAGGATGAGCCTGTACGCGTGACTATCACACAACTTTAGAGGAAAGAGTCTCATTACACCTCCATATATCATTAAGTGAAAACTGGAGAGATAATAGAGGAGGAGGAGAGGAGGCTGCCAGGGATTGAAGGAGGATGAAATATGTTCAGTTACTGAATGACCTTCAGTGTTGGTGCAAACTGACAGCTAGTCTATATTATTATCTAATAAAACAGATTTTTAGCTCTCTAATTGATTCCATATACGTTAAAACATGCTGGAGTGTCATAACACTGTATTGGGTCAAATATGGACAACTGTTAGGTTAAAATGTAATTTAAATATAAATTGTGTATTTATTTTCATAGCTTACATTGTTATTGTTAAAGTGAGTATTCAAGTTAAGTCAATCCACAGAAAATGTTTGTTTGGTCACTTCAATTAGATGGTCCATTTGTTGAATTTAAGTTACATTGCATCTACATCCCAACTAAATCTCATTAGATTATAAGTAGACTGTTAGGTTGGGGTTGGGGTTAGGGTTAGGGTTAGTGTAAGTTGACATTTATTTGCAAAGTTTCTTTAAGCAAAGACCATAGAATACGAATGACATGTCACTTTTGAATGGGGAAAAGTGTAACTGATGGTGATTGAAGCCCCGCCTTCTAGTACAGGAGTCAATCAGCGATCGCTATATGGTGAATAAAGCCCGCCTTCTAGCACAGGAGCCAATCATCGATTGCTATAGAATGACAACTCTCCAAGGGAGTGGCTCGAACCAGACGTGAGTTTCTGCAGATTTTGTACAATATGAAACTAAATAGGCAGTTGTTGTTTAATTGCATCGGTTATTCATAATATGAAACATAATTGAAAGCTTGGCAAGTAGTTTTGGAGAATTTAATGTTTCCACCCTTCATCAGAATGCCGAAGCATGCTGTCCGCAAGGCGTTTCAAAGATAGCCACCGAGTGAAATGACTTGCCTTATAGTAAGTTAAATGTCTGTTGAAGGAGCAGTATCGACAGATTTTAGGTAGACAGTCTACTAATACTCAAATGGACTACCAAAATAGTGTTACCATTTGGATTGCTATCTTTCTATCCAAAAATATGAAATAACTTTATACGCAAAACTAGAATATTGCATAAAACACATAAATTAAGCAGCATTTCAAATCCAACAAGTCAAAGTGAACAAAATCATCACTTCCTGATTAACTTGCTCCAAATATCCACAGTAAAAACAGAATTTGCTGCGGTTTGAGAAGCTGCGTTTCCTTATTTAATAAATGACTTGCGCCTCAGAAGACAACACTGCAATGAACGCGTGGTGACATTTGAAGGGGTGAGACGCGGAGTGCAGATGCTTTTGACAGTTCTGGAGGTCATTATTAGTTACGTAAAAATACTTATACTGAAATGGTTAAGGCGTTTTAGAACGACCAGCACAGCATGTCAGATGTTTTACAGTGGGCTCAGCCTGCTGGTTTGTCCATTCACACATATTTATATCATCACATGATCTCTTGTAACCAAATGACATGACTTTTTAATGCGCATACTAGAATTTGTTTGGTTTCCATTACAGTTTATGCACATCTTTTCTTATAGAATAAAAAGTTTATCCTACTCAGTTATGCGTGTAATTTTTTTTATGTGCAGTTTTAA